TATATATATATATATATATATATATACACAGGGTGCTCCACTTAAGTCGAACATCTTGAATATTTTGGTTATTTTTGATAATACAAAAAAATATTTCAAACGAAAGTGAAATGGTTTTGAGGGGGACGTATTTTAATCATGTTATTTTTTTCTAGGTGGAGGTGTCAAAAAGATATGAAGATCATCTCGACTTTTTTAAATGGAATTGTATGATTTTTTTTACACAATATGATTCCTCTAATTATTCTGCACATAAAAGTATTAAGGTAATAATATTAAAGAACCAATAGTTTATGAGATATTTTACATTTTATTCTGGCACATATTGACACAAAATGTTAAATAACTCGTAAACTATTAACTTTTTGATAATTGATATCTTAATACTTTGATGAACAGAATAATGAGATGAATCAGTTAATGTAAAGAAAACATATCGTTGCTTTAAAAAAAATATGTATGCAAAATCGATAATTTTTTTAAATAAGCAACTATGTGTTTTCATCAACAATGAGCACGAGTGTTGTGTAGCAGATAGCGCATTGGTCTGATATACTAGAGATCTCGGTTTCGATCCCCGGCAGAACCGAAAAATTTTCATACACTCCGTAGCTGCTTTCGGAAGGTAATGGTAAACCACCGAGTAGTATTTGCCCAGGAAATCTCCCTATCAAAAATTGCCGTTCGGAATTGGCATTTAAACTTAAAAAGACCCCCATATACCTTGTTGTACGATCAGAGGCATATGAGAGGAAGGTGCCTACGCGCTGAGATAGCGTACATGGCACTTGAAGAAAAAGAAAAAAAAATCATACAATTCCATTTAAAAAAGTGGAGGTAACCTTCATATCTTTTTGCCTTCACCTAAAAAAATCAACATGATCAAAGTACGTCCCCCCTCGAAACCCTTCTACTTCCATTTAAAACATTTTTGTATATCATCAAAAATAAGCGAGATATTTCAGATGGTCGATTTAAGTGGGCCACTCTGTATATAGTATTATATATACACACATATATATATATATATATATGTGTGTATGTATGTATATATACACACATAGAATCTATATCATTTGTATAAAGATTATTTAATGCAAAGAAACATTGCGACAGTATAAGTATAAATTCTTTTTTTTTATACAAATTCAAGTTAATATCTGTTTTTTTGTAAGCCGCAAAAATAATTAAAAGCGCGACATGCTCGACGCAGAAATCTAATGTTTGAGCGTGAAGGAGTAATTTATGGAAACTGTATGCGCCTTCGAGTTTCCCAAAGTTCAACCAAGTAACTCAGTTAAGCCCAAGCTTCGCGGAAACGCCGTAAAGCAGTTACACGATTTTACTCTTTTCCTCACATTGACGGTTGG